AGATGCCCGTCGGAGCACAGCAACTACCGCCTACGGCGAATCCTTACGCCGCCGCCACCTACGCACAGCACGCGTCGGTAAGTCCTCTCCTTTCGTTATTCGCCAACTCAGACTGCACTTGTTAACTACAAATTTACTTTACGTCGCCTGCCTTGAAGACCGGCTTTGTTTCGGCCCATTTCGAATCATTTCCACATACTTCTATTTATAACCACGCGAAAAGATACAATTTTCTTTTTTTACATTTCGATGTTGCGTTGTTATTTATATTCGTATAAATTTTATTTTTGCAAACTTTTTATCATGCGATGCGAAAAAATATATTTCAATTTTAATTATACTTATTCGCTTTTTCTTTATTATTCACGATTAGACGGTTTTTTTTTTAAATGAATAACAAGGATGATTAGATGTGCACTGACACTTGGATGCTGACCGTTCAGCGCAAACGTCTTGTACGTTCTTTTTTTTCGAATCTCTGTAGTTGATAAGGTAACCTATAAACTGTGCTTGAAACACAGATGAGAGTCTCGTTAAATAATGTATAGTTCATAGTCGTTCTTAATTTTTTAGTGTGAAAGCAGTAGTTAGTATGTTTCTGATAATCCTGTCAAAAAGGACCCGCGCAGACAGTAGGAAAATGTTAACCTTTGCGCAGCGAAAGGGTTAACCCTTTCGTAAACCGGGTGGGGCCATGACAACGCGGCATGTCGTTCTCGTTGAAATGATGCGCGATCTTTTTATCGCTATTTTTCTTGATTTTTCGTGAAAGATTCTTTCTTCTTTTAATTCATAACTATGATTTTTCATTTTTTCTTCGAAACGTGTATGACTTTCAAGTAGTGTAGTACATGTGTACCTTGTTTCAAATATGCTTATACTTCGAAGCAACCGGCATAATTACTGTAAGATTATTGTAAGCATGTTATAACCAGTTGCTTACAAGAAATTACATTCTGGTAGTATATGGACAAATTAGTTTGAAAGTGATCATATATTTATACTACACACGATATTAATAACCTTTTTTATGCCGGGTGGGGCTACAGTATTTTCCGTAACTTTTTATAATTTATGTTTTGAATTTAGTCGTTGCAACACTTTTATAAGTAATAAATAATTGCCAAATCGGATAATGATAAAATTTACTTTGCATTAAACTAAAGTGTGCATTATAACATGTGAGGTAACCTTTTATTTACAAAATTTTTAAATATATTACAGTATGGTGGACAACGGGTGCCTACAGCCTCTTCTCCAGCTAACACTAATAGTAGTTCTAGCAGTGCTACTGGCAGTCAAAGCGGGACAATGAGCACGAGTCTTAGCAATAATGCTATACAAGGACAACAAGCAGAACAACTATCAAAAACAAATTTGTATATCCGTGGCCTCAACCAAAACACTACCGATAAAGACCTTGTTAACATGTGTTCTCAGTAAGTCATTCGTGTAATTATAGGTATTCTTAATAATACTAGCGAGTTAATGATTGCATGAAGAAACTATATTTTACTTTGACTTGTATGTTTTTTTTTAAGATAGAGAAGCATATTATTTCTAATACAGTGTGTTTTTGCAGATATGGAACTATTACTTCTACGAAGGCAATTTTGGATAAAAATACGAATAAATGTAAAGGTAATTTATTAAAGTTTTAACCATATACTATATACTTTAGTATATTTATAACAGTATATATAGTATTACTTGTTTATTAGTTACTTTTATTAATTTATGTTGTAATTGTATGTTGCAGGTTATGGATTTGTAGACTTTGAGTCACCAGTGGCGGCAGAGGGTGCTGTGAAAGCACTGGTCGCCAAGGGCATCCAAGCACAGATGGCGAAAGTGGGTATCTGGTTGCTCCGTAGACTGCCCAGTGTACGTTGGTTGTGCATGCAAGTACAGTAATACCAGAGTAACAGTAAACCTTTTCTCTTTCTTTTCTTCCTTTTCCTCTTTCCCACTGTCCTACCTTACTTTTTATTTCTTTTTATTTTTCCTTCTTTATCTTTTTCATCTTTAATCTTTTATTCCATGCTGGATCCATCTTTGTGTTTGAGTATAACTAATATCCCTTTTATCCTTTTGTTGATATATCATTTTTGTTGACATATAATGATTAAATGCCATTAATGTGAAAAAAAAAGTTCTTATTCCCATACTGCTATGATAAATATGTACACAGTACAGTACTTTCATGCATTATTTACTATAAAAAGTTGGATAAGAAAGTACTGAAATTTCAATTACAGTAAATGCTATGCTTGTCTTTCAATAATCACTAGCATAACTACTAATCACAAAGCAAAGATAGATTGTCCAATTGCATAATATTTGTGTTACTTATTGAAGGATATTCATCTAACTGAAAATAAGTAATTCATAGCTGGTTTATATAGAACATAAATATCTAATCAAACTAAAAATATTATTTATTTTGTTCATCTTTTTAATTTTATTTCATTTCATATTACTTCAATTAACACTTGCATATTACAGTAAATGTGACATAAAGTTTAAGTCTGTTATAATTTTAAGAAGTGATATTATTTGATATTATTACTAATACTTTTGTTGTTTTTCTCTACTTTATTTTGCAATTACCTAAAGACAAGCATAGTATCATTTCATGGCATCATTGCTCTGCTTTCAGCCCCTCTAGACATGCTTAGAACTGTACATTGACAGGACTATTTTAGTATTTTATAATCGTTGCGTTACGTAGAAAAGGTACTATCTTTTAGTATAGTAATGTCAGATTAAAAGAAAATTACAAGTTATTGCAAAAGAATTGAAAGTACTACAATTCATCGACAAGTGAGAAGGGCTGTTAATAAAGTGATATCATTTTTGTAACTTTTTATTTCTAGTTCTGTCCTGTTACTTTAAAACCAGTGTATTTCTACTAGAGGGGTGTTATTAAATATAAACTATATTTTCATTGGTAATTAAAGTTGTGAACAGTTAATGGTAAAAATTTTATATTACAAACATTCACATATATCCTTTAAGTATACATGGAATAATGTATCATAATAATATTATTCTATCAGTGGAAATATAGTAGCAGGCAATCATGCATAATTTAAACAAGAAACAACTTGAACTTAAAAAAAAAAATAAGAAAAAAAACTTTTCCTATTAGAACCTGTCTCACTTGTCTACAAGTCTCTAATCTTCACTAATTCTATCTGTCATTCTATCTCATGTACCTATTGATTGCTTGTTGCTGTACCTCGGCCACAAATTGCTGATACTGCTGTGTCAATACATTTATCAGAAAATTGCATTCATTTCAGCACTATTTCTAGCCTCTAGCAAACATCTAATATACCCTCAAATGTTTGTGTCCATATCCTGTGTAAAAATATTAGTTGCTCATTGTCATACCAAAAGGAATAAAACATTTTTTGAAATATTCTGTTAAAATTGCTTTCAAGTATGGCAGTACAAACAATATCATACAATCGTAATATGGTATATTTTCTTATTTTTTTTTTTTTTTTTTGTGTAATTTTGTCAAATGTTATGTGTTTGTCTTATATTCTAATGATGTGCAAATACTAAGAAAAAAGTGGCTTATTATTTATTTAGTTGTTAAAATTTGTTCGACTTTGAATCTAATTTTTACCCATATTCGCACATTGCCAAAAAAAGTATTGGCTCTTGCCTATATATTGCTGAAAAACTAACTTGGAATGGTTCTTCTAATCTGGCCGCGGTAAAAAGCACGGGGTGCCATCAGCAGCTGTGATGATGTCAGTCGCATGTGATATGATATAACTAAATGACGTACCCATTATTAACTGTACTCAGGGTACACGGTACTTACTTACTAATTAGTGGTGCTATGTCAAGATCAGGTGCTATCTTATTCCTGGGGTGTTGGTTGGTTCTAATTGATATACTTAGCTTGAATAATAATATTTAACCGGCACACCAAACAAGTTTAGGATGTGTATTTGGGAATCTTTAAGAATTTTAGTTTTATGATGATTTAGTACTTTATGAGGAATTGTATTGAATCTTACAGTTCCTGTAATGTACTTGAATGCATATAACATACAGAAAGATGCATATATTTTCTACAAAATCCTTTATACACATTCGCACTTGATTAAGAACTAAATCATTCTATTGAGATACAAATTCATATTCATACATATATGTATACATAAATACGTTTATATGTACATGTATGTGTGTATATATGTATATATGTTTTAATGAATATATATACATATATTGATGCCATAAGCTTGGCTTATATCATAATATTTTCATTATTTATTTTTTTGTTTTAATGCATTCGCAAGATTGAAGTAAATTGTCGTAAAGTATAAGTATATTCAAGTAACTGTAGAATTGATTGATTTTTGAGAGAAATGGTGGATCTCAAAATATGCTTGAGGGTGCATAAATATTGAATTCTAGTTCGAGTTGAGTTTAGTGTACACGTATCTTTCCCTTTTTGTTCTTTACGTACAAAAATTGTAAACAAGGGAAACTTGAGCATGAACACATGTATATGTATGTGCATACATCTTATACACATAATGTACTTTTGTAATATCGTGAGATAATTAGGCCTTAGTTTCATTCCTATCTCATATTGTAACTGTATATATATGTGACATGCCTGTGCTTTTTGTTATGCTTGTTTCCAACAATATGTCATATGTGACTGGAATTCTATTACTGCTTTGAATGGTTATTCTTAATATTGTTTATTACAAATGACTAGATAGCTTGCATCATTTATTTGTTATTTGTTATATACGCATATATGATTATTAAAATAAATCTTCTAGATAATTGTAGAGAAACAACATGAATTCTGATGAATTTGAAATGTTGTTTGCTAAATTTCACTGCTATATTTGTTGTACAAAAAGAATATTTAACATTGGACATACGCTTAGAAGAGAGAAATTTTAACAAGGACTACATTAATAACATTATTCTAAAAAAAATGTTTGAAATCGTTTAACATCAAAACAAAAAATACCGAATTTCTTATTATTCAAAAACATAATTATTATCTTATTATTCACATAAAATAAACAATGTTTGCACAGGCGATATTCATTACTGTGATTTTCTATGAATTCATTATTTATTTTCCAATTACGTTATTGAGCACCGAATGCTATAGGTTACCATATAGATTATTGAGTTTGAAATATTTTTTATGGAATACAGAATGTATTTATGCGTGTGAGCATGCTTTGCACATAAATGCAGAGTACATATTATATTAATTTTGATCATAAGCATCCATAAAGCAAATTTGGAGAACCACCAGAATGTGGTAACGTAATGTCATGAAGCATGATAATCTCTCAGTATTTAAAGATCATAATTATCTTAATTCATAATAAGTCGTTTTGAGTATATTACTCACTTGTATATTTAATACTAGATTAAAATAATCATTATAGTTTAATGGTCTCTTAAGTAGTATCTTGTAGATTTATGTAATTTTTTGATAAAAAGAATATGGATAAGTTATGTATATAAAGGATTTATGTTTTAAATATTGTGTAAAATTTAGTTTTCTAAATTTCTTGCATCATTGCATTGAAACGAAGTTTAATTTTAAGTTATCATTTTAACATTCTATGTGAATGTGTATGTATAATGAAAAAGAGAGATAGACAATATTAATTTGGATTGAAAAATTTACATTGTAAATTTCTTAACAAACTATTTAAAATATAAACAGACCTTTTGTAATGTTCATCTTACAAATCACAATTATTAATTCATCATTGTAGTGATTTCGTCTGTGCATTCATTGATATCAATCATATTTATGTAGGTATATGCAAATACATGTATCTTGGTGATGAATGTTAAAATGATAGACACAAAGCTTTTTTTGAAATTTATTATACATATACATATTTACACGTTACAAGGTGAAATACAATAAGTTGCATAGTATTTTTACTCTCTTCTCAGCAACAGGAGCAAGACCCCACCAATTTGTATATTGCAAACCTTCCATTGAGCTTCAAAGAAAATGATGTTGAGGGTTTACTCGCTCAGTATGGGCAAGTTATTTCAACGCGTATATTACGCGATACTGCTGGACAAAGTAAAGGTGTTGGATTTGCAAGGTTAGCACTTTTTATATTTTTTCCTCTTTTATTTTTATTAATAGTATAAAATGAATAATCGGTACTCGTAGTTTGTCGTTATATATAAAATTACATTTTTTATATTAGAATGGAGTCCAAAGAAAAATGTGAACAAATAATTCAAATGTTTAATGGAAAGGCACTACAAGGGGCTAAAGACCCTCTATTGGTGAAATTTGCTGATGGTGGTAACAAGAAAAAATCATTATACAAAAGTACAATATGGAGAGAAACTGGAGAGGTAATTTGTTTTAATAATTGAAAGGATATACATTAATTATGTATTATGTAATTTTTAACGATTGTTGTATATATTTACGCAGAACATGACTCTGAATTACGATACAAGCGGTGTTGGTCAAAATGGGGTTGCAACCACTCACATGCTACCCACAGCCACTTTAGCACAATATGGTCGTCATTACGGCCAAGCTTTGCCTGGTTACAGCGTACCAGGAGCACCTTGGGTTACTCCTTATTTGGTGCAAACTGGCCCTCCACATATGCAACAGGTCGACGTGAGTTTTTATACAAATTTTTTGTTGGTTTTGTTCCTCTTTCAAATATTTATACTTAGTTTTTCAAGTTTATTTGTTATGTCTCATTTTCATCCAAATTTATAATGAATTACAGCCTTAGATTAAGATTAACAAAATAATTAAATGAATCTATAAATTAAATGTGAACTTTGCATTACAGATGATGCCATCAGCTGATCCTAGCAACCCACAATACAGTATGATTCCTCAGCTTACTACACAAATGTCTACACTGCATCTTGGCACTGGTTCCGTGAGTATTATATCTGTTTATCTTTTTTTACTTTAAATATTACAGTCTGTTCTTTTTATTCAAATTTAAGTTTGAACAGTTTCTTAATTTTTCATTCAAACGCGTGCTAAGATCGTGTATTTTATTTTTGGATCATCTACAGTTAAAATATTTCGTTTTTCAGTACATAGCAGCAAGCCCGCATCCCTATCCTTATACTACTTACCCTCCTAGCATTATTCATACCATGCCATTGGGTGATTCTGAACAAACAAGTAACGCAGCATCTCCTGATGACTCCTATCAACAATACCAAGCTCAGCAGCCCAAGTAGGCTACGGTTTTTAGGTACAGGCAACAATTTTGAATTTGATTAGGGTAAATGTACCAGTAGTTGATATTATAAGACTTATTTTTTATTGTAATTATTACGTGCACCAACGAGTAACGTGTTTTGTTAATTCGGAATTTTGTTTTTGTTAAAAGAGAGTAATTTGATAAATTTAATATGTAGATTATTCATTGGTACACCTAATGTCTCTTTTTAATCAGTAATTTTGTAGATGGATAACTTGATTCATCAATTGGTTTTAAACGACTTGAACTTATTAAGTTCTGATAAATAATCCAAGAATGAAATTTTATTAAAAAATTGAACCCTCCAAGCTGTACAAATAGTTGACACATAAAATTTCTTAAAAAATTAAGTTCTCAAATCGGTCATTACTACCTGATAAAATAAAACAATGTTTATTTAAAAATAAAAAAGTAAATAACACGTACAAAACATTTATAAAATCGAAAAAATGCAAGGAAAAGTAGGAAGGCACTTATAAATATTGACACAAGAATACATAATCTTTCAATCAATATACTATTTAAGCAATGTTTGTTAATAGCTTACAAATGTAAACACTTAGCACAATCATGATTCAATCTAATTGCGACGTCTCGATATAACAACACATATCATACTTAGGTCAGATTATAGAGTTTTTATATTTGTGATTGAATATAAAAATGTTAACTATCGGTACACTGTCAACTACTGATACAGGTACTCTACACCATAACTAATAAATCTGAAGAAGGAAATCCAAGTGAAAGCTAAATAACTTTATTTCAGATACGATTACACCGAGGGTTACGTAAGTTAGGAGAGCCACACCTGTTGATACGAAGGATTATATTAATGAAGAATAGATGAGACTAAATACATTATATAAAGTCAGATAAGATTCTTCCTCATGATAATTGACTTGCCAGCCATCTTTTATACATTTTATCCATCAGATAAAAATAGGTGAAAGTAGTTAATATTTTCCAACGATTAGAGAATGAATGTTGTCATAAGACGGGGTACGAGTGCTCGTGTCATTTACATTTGTTCGGCACCAGCACGGCTCCATACGCTGTAACGTCAACACATCATTACGACAGTGACAAGAAACTGATACTCTACGACGGACAGTTTAGTGTCAAGCTGATAGGCTTCCAGGATTAACTTTAGGTATTACATTTACTAAGGAAATGATAAGTCGAAGCTGAACGCTTGAGAGTGTGAATAAATATTTTAACAAAAACTGTAAACTATAAAAGAAACGCTGCTCAGAAATATACAAAGGAGAATTCTTCCCAAGAAATAATAATAATAATAATAATATACAGAGGAAAAAGAAAGCACTTCCAATGCTAGAGTTGATAAAAAAAGAACATTCAGATTTTGTTAATTGCGTAATCAGTACCTACCGGACTTTTGTGCCAGCTGGCTGGCCGGTGGCTGGGCTGAGAAAGAAGAGATATCGCTCGGTATTTTTTTTACAAAAATACCGAAAACAAGAAACTCTTCCTTGACAGCGCACACCACCCCATCCGCTAACTGCACTCTCATCACATTATTTCTTTTTGTTTTCTTCTGTTTCGTTCAGACATTCCAAGCCAGGCACATATATTGTATGTATGTATTGCCACGCGGAGATTTTTATCTACTTTTACAAGTACAGTTCGCGTTCTCTTTTTAATCACGGACGACTATATTTTATGAACGAAAAAGAAGCGAAGAAGATTTTAAAAGAAAACTAATAAAAAAGAGTAATAAGAAGCTTTATTTCTAAAAGAAAAAATACTTCAGGATATATGTAATTATTGTAACAAGAAGGAAAGGAACATAGTACTTTTTAGAGGATTTATATTTATGAGTACAGTTATTAACGAATCGATATCAGTTTTAATTGTACAGTAAATACAGATATTTTTTTTAGAATTGTGCCTTTTCAGACAAATCCGCTAGACAAGGGATATGCTGAAAAATATTATAATATATTTTTACGTCGGTATGTAAATGCGAAACTTGAGCCAAATTTTGATCTTCTAGTTAAGAAAATATAATTGTTCTTGCGTTGTAGCCAGTTAAATATCAATGCGTTTGTTTTTTGGTTACAAATTCGAATAGATTTTGTATGTGTATAGTTGCCACTAACGGGATTGACGGATCGGAAAACACCGTACGATCCGTGCGGAAAGAGTTATAGGAACAAAAAAAAAAAAAAAGAGAAGAAGAAGAAAAGAAAATCAAACGGCGGCGGATCATTGTAAACCAAGATAATTCACACCGCCCGGGAAAAAAGAGAGACAGAGAGAATAGGCTTGTTACAACGGGATACGATAGATAGAGTGTAAATTAATTTATTATATCGAACGAACGAGTAAAAAAACGTGTTACAAAATGAACGAAGATAAAATAGGACTGGAGGAAGAACGATAGGCGAGAGGATCGAACGTGAGGAAACAAAAAGAAACTTATAATAAGAGAATTTGAAGGAAATTTTCTATCTACGCGATGTCTCGAATGAAAAGAAAAGAAACACTCCTCCTCTACTGCGTTCCTCTAAGCCCGTTTTTTACATCCGGTACACAGTTTTCACGTTGTCTGACTTAGATCGAGTCGAGGAAAGATTAGCAGAAAGCTTTCTACCAAATATTGCGAGCTCCGGGCTCGAAGTGGCGGGCAGGTAGTTAGATAGAGTTAGAGGCGAATCGTAGCTATTATTATAATATTACAATAATACGCTGTATTATTATAATTAACGATTACTATTATTGACGTCATCTAAAGTATGAAAGATTTTTACACTGTTGAGACTTGAAGTAAATAATATATTTAGTTTATTTTGGTACATCACGATTTGATGACAAGAGATAAAAGATGAAAAAAAATGGTATGAGCTATTTTTTAAGAGACCGATTATTACTCGATTTGAGTCCATGCATTGAGAGGGGAGAGAAAAAGAAAAAATGAGAGAGCAAGGGAACGAACGAACGAAAGAAAGGGGGAGAACCTATTTGCGAGCGTGTAAAATTTGTTGCACAAGCGAGAGATTGTCACCACGACTGACAACAAAAAAAAAAATCACATGTGATTAAATAGTGAATTTTGAAGAATTTTACTAATAGACTTGTACTAAATAACTAATTAATTATTGTGACGACCAAAACAAAGAGCAGCATTTTAGTGCTGGCCGAGGCGGAAGAACAATGAGGTTCGAACGCTAAGCTCCCGCAGATACGGAGCCGCACTGGAGAGCGGGCAGAGAGGAGAAATAGAGAGAAAGAGGTGATAAACACAGAGTGTAAGGGACAACGAGCGAAAGGAACGAAGGGAAAACAAAGTAAAAGATGAATGTGAAATAAGAATGAAAGCATTACAGAAGGTTAGAGTGAGCGAGATATAGAAAGTAGAGGGAGAAAGAGAGGAAGAATGAAAATGTAAGAACGAGTGCGTCGTAATCTCTATTGTATAGAATTTGCGAAGGAGGACACTGCGAGATGTTGTGTAGTTAGTGTTGACTATGAACATAGGTTAGGCACCATTTTGGATAGGAAGTAATCAATTAAGTGATTAAGTTTAGGTAGATAGTTAGCTGATAGTTAGGATTATATAACTGCCTCATCTTGTTAAAGAAGAAAAAAAAAAGGAAACACACAAAGACGAGGCACCGTTCAGCCTATGCACCTCGTACCCGTCAAGACTGACTGGCTATTCATATTAATAAATATATATTATTCTACAACATATTATCTACTGTAATATAAATAGTAAGGACTGCTTGCTGCGCACCGCGGGTCGGGTGCTTGGGCTGGCCGGGCAAAATGTATTTACGAAAATCAACTTTTTTTTGGAAGCTCGTTTCCAAAAAAAAAAAAACAATGCTGCTTTCCGTAAGCTTTCTCTAGGATTCTCTAGCGTAGCCTCTTTTTAGATTAGATTTAAAACTAGTAGTACGTAGGCTGATTGTAGAGAAGATGAGAATAAATTGAAAAAAAAATCGTAGGATGTTTTAAGTAACGAAAATAACAAAAAAACGTAAACGTTAGTCGAATATCGGCTTAAGCGAGTCCGAGTTTTCTCTTTGATGACGATGATGATAACGATGATGATAATGACGATGACCCGCAACACGTCATCGTACTTCGACTTGTACAGTCCTTAGATTTCACCGAGGTGTTTTAAGTCATTGTTTTACATTGTTAAGCAAAGATAGGTTTCTAGCTGTAACGAGAAATGAACACTTTTTTCCATGCTCCCTATTCCTCCTTCTCCTTCTCCCTTTTCTAACTTGTAACTTTCCTCGATTTTCCTCCCATCGATATGTTCTTCCTATATTTTTCTTTTTTTCTTTTTTTTTTTGTTCTTTCTCCTCATGTTCTTCGTCGCGTTTGAATCTCTTCGCGTTACAAGATATCGACGAAAACATATGTAATTCTCCAAAACGAAATACCATACAGTCTGATTAATTTTGGTTTCTTCTCTCCAGGATATATTGTTATGCGGTGGGCGACCAATCTGAATATGAAAACAGAGTTTCGTAAATCAGAGAGAAAGAAAGAGAAGATGAGAATGGGGGAGAGAATGCGAGAGAGAAAGAGAGAGAGAGAGAATAATGTCGAAGCATTAAGTTAGCTCGCAATCGTACGAGAATTAACATTGAAGGAGAAAAAAGAAAAAAAATGAACACATAGGTTCGAATACATTAAGATGGCGAGGCATAGCACGTAATGAACTTTTTTTAGATTAAGGCAAGTGTGTCATAGCTAGTTAAGAAATAGGGACTCTTAGAAGTCGATAGGTGCTGTAATAAACAACAAAAAAAAGGGAAAAACCAACAAAGTTTAACAACGGTCAGAATTAGATTTTTCATGAAAGAAAAAAAATCTCGAAATAAGAACACAGGGCATACGCCACTAAAAGTGCCCTTAGTTTATTTTGGATCGTTTAAAAACGCTAGTCTTTGTGTGAGATAATGTGGGGGTTAGATAGGGTCTTCTAAAGAAACAAACGAAAAAAAAGAGAAAAAGCGAGAAAAGAAAAGAAAAAGATAAACGAAGAAATGCAAAATGGCAAAATGATAAAAAAAAAAACACAAAAAAAAGAACGAGAACGTGAGAGAAAGTGAAAATAAAATGTGAGAGAGAGTGAGAGAGTGAGAGAGAGAAAGTGCGAGCTGAGCATGTGGTGTGTAGGTGTATGCATAATTTAAATAATGCGTACTTTAAAAAAAAAACCATCTGCCTATTACATGACACAGACTGCAGAAGACACACTGTTACTGTAAACTGCACACTGCGTGTGCACGCTCTGAAACGTCACTCTTCTACACTTTGTATGGGGGAGCGTGCACCGAACAGTTTTTAGAGTTACTTACAAGTATGGTTTGGTATATTCAAAGTGAAAGAATCAAATTCTTAATTATTATCGTCCCTTATTTTTGATCAATAAACGATCTGTTTTGGGGATTTATTCGAATCACTTTCTTTTTCCTTTCCTCGGTTCTGATACACCAAGAGTGAATCCCCAAATTGTATTATGATTTCTTCGATATCTTTCTTGCTACTCTTACGTATGAGTTGGACGATTTCGTTGCAATGCGTAATGTTTTCCAATCGATTATTTTCATTTCTCCTTTTTTCCTTTTGTTCGAGGGCAACAACAACAACATCTGCGAGACAAAGGAACAAATGAACTGTAAAAGTCTGTAAAATAAACTTACTCTCGTACAAAAGAAGAAAATCAGTGGCTGTATTTACACGTATTCCAGAAACACCTAAAAGAAAAACACTTATGCCTTCTGTCGAATCAAGTAGCAGAACTATTGTAAATGTCTTTTTCAACGTTGAAGCAAAGCCCCTGCGACGTTTCTTGATATCCTTTAGGGCTGAAAGAGAGCTTAATGAATTAAAATGATGAAACAAAAATAAAAAAGTCATGTTTTTCTCCATTGAACAACAGTGAACGACAATTATACTATTCACTAATGTGTAGAGGTACAGCATGTGCAATAGACTGAAACGACATTGTCCTTTGTAAGTAAAATATTAGAACGATAAGCCCCCCACATTATCCTAATATATCGTGTAATACATCCAGCGTCCGCCTCTATATTAACCGACGGTAGAATTGTTTCTTGCGAGGTAACGAGTCCACACATGAACAATTGACATGCCATTGTTCAATTCTGGCAATACGGTAGAACGTAACGAGTCTTTTTCTTATAGTACTTTTAACACCTTACCGCTAATGCGATTTGTACTATTTTGAGTAAACGCTTTGATTTATGCGCAATAAAAATAATTCGAAGTCCTTAAAAAAAAGAGAAATAGGAAATGGTAAAAATGAATCGAGGTGCTGGCAATGTACGAACGATTTACTAGATCTCCTCTTTTGTCAATTAAGTGGTGGTTTTATAATAATGTAAAATACGAGGGTAAAATTAAAGAGAAAAAAAGAGACACATCATAAGAAGAAACTCATTGAAATAAAAAGTGCGAATTTTGATTTCACGTTCAAAGATTTTTCATAGACGATGAAATATTTTTTCGCTAGGACCGTATGTTTTCCTTTTTCGTTTTTGTACATGTGTTTTTTATTCGTACGAAAATACTTGTTGTTGCTTTATATACGTCGTTTCGATTCAAGTTTATTTCAAATATGTTGTTGCAGTTAAGAATAAGATTGTTCGTTTCGATTATTTTACGGTGAACACGTGGAATTTGTGATCGATATGTTTAACGACGTCGATATATTGAATTTCATTTAGACGATTACATTGTTTGATTTAGAGTATAATAAATATTAAAATAATTTAAAAAGGCCTATTGTTATTAATTTGCACTATATATGAGACTTTGTGGTATTGTAGTTCAAAATTTTGTGTAAGGTACTACTTTATTATTAACGAACAACGGATTTTGACTTGAATATTCTTACAGTATTATCCGCGCCTCCGGATACCATGAATTTTGGATTCGACCAGTTGCAACATAACACTTTGTCTTCGTGTCCGGAAAGGTCGAATAACGGTGCCTTAGGACTGCAATAAATAAACATCATTTCAAAATTAGTATACGTTGTGCATGAATAGCATCGAATTAATAGCGAATTAATACCTTCTGGTATCCCAAAGTTTCATGTCGTTATCGTATGCTCCTGAAATAAAAAGATTTTCGTCCACGGGAGACCATCTCACGGATTGCACCCATTGGGTGTGGGAAGTGAATACTGATTTTACAAGCGTTCCCTCTGAAACAAATATATTTTCAGCAAAGTTGCCAATTATCAATTTTTAAAAAAAGCAATTTAAAATAAAAACCTGTAGATCTCGGATCATATAATCTGATGTGTCTATCGGCGGACGCTGCTATAATGGCACGGCTTAATAGAGAATAATCAAGGTCAAAGAAACTTTTATTGCCAGCAAGTTCATGTTTAATCCCTCCCAATTCTGAATCCCATAGTTTTATCGTATGATCCCACGAAGCCGTTATAAGTTCCGTTTTATCTGACCATACGACACTGCTAATGGCTTCTTTGTGCCCTTTCATAGTTCTTTTAGGTACCTATACAATATTGCACACGTTTATACGAATAATTATATTATACCCACATTTTTCGTCTACGTTCATACGTGTCATTTACCCTTGTTTTACCGTGTTCCGACTTCAATCTTTTCGAAGTAGATTCACCATCTTCATTTTCATCTTGATTAGCTGTGAAAATTAACACAGATTAAATAACTTAGTTTCTTAACAAATAATAGTGTTCAGTACATACTACAATTTAATTAAAATACTTACATGTAGACCAGATTTTTAGCATTGTGTCCCATGCTCCAGTTGCTATTGTTGTTTTGTCATAGTTCACACTGACAGCCTCGAGGCCACGTTCATGTCCTCTGCATATATGTATACAATCTACTGAATTTTCTACAATATTCCAGTCCCATATTATAGCTGTTTGATCCTGCGAAGCGCTATAAGTTTCATGAATATATAAAAATCATAATGAAACATCTTTTTCATTGTTTATTCAGTACCTAACAAAACTGGCAGTGTCATTATTCAAAGAGATCCATGCAACTGCTTTGATAGGTGATGTATGTCCAGGAATTACAAGATGATGTTTTCCTTTTGATGTCCAAATATGTAATGTATTATCATAGCAACCTGTCAGTATCCTATTAAACACAGTTTTGGCTTATATAGCAGTTAGTTTAACTGTTATAATGTAGAATGGTTATAAATGAATAACATTAAAATTAACCATTTTTCACACACGTCCACTGCAGCCACCCAATCATCATGTATAAGACAGTCCTGAGGTTCTGGTGGAGGATATTTCTCAACATATTCAACATTTATCACCTCTTCTGTAGAAATATTTTTCTCTGCTATGTGCTCGGATAATGAACCACGTAGAAATTGAGAGCATATCAAAAAATCAAATTCTATGTCATTTTTGATATCAGTAGATTCTAAAATTAAAAAGTTATTTTCTAAGTAAATATTTATTACTGAAATTTATTAACACAAGAATAGATAGATGTTTACCTTTCAGTAGTTCATTTACAAGAGTATTCAGTTCACTCGATACGATAGACGTGTGAACAGATAGAGGGAAATCTGGTACAGCATATCTAAAATTTAAAAACATATGTTCCATACATTTCACGGTTTCTGAGTAAAAGTTTTGTTATATCACCTGTATGTAGCAAACTAAATTAACCTCCTCATAAAAATAACCACAAATGGTACTTACTGTTCTTGTTTCGTAATAAATCTTATTTGTATCTGTGGAGCACTACTATTTAAGCTTGTATTAGCCATTTCAGCTTTCCTACTATTCGCGTAAGTTATATTTTTCATATAATTTGCAAACTACACAATCACACGTGTACACTACATTTTAAACATACTGCTTTCACAACGCAAATCATCGATTCGAAGAATCGACTTATTTGAAGTTCGACATTCTGTTATCGATTATCTCTTTTCAAATCATTGAACACCGTTTCGTAAAAGGCTATTCTTGTTTTACGCAACTCGGCTAACTTCAGTAGATGCCCCTTTAGTACAGTCTAAGGCAGTCGTGAGATTTTATCTCACGCGAGAGCTTTATGCGCATGCGTCAGTTGACGTCACAGCTTGCTGCCAATGCCGTACCTAGCCGGTACACACAGCGGTGACTGATGAGGGCACCTTAATGATTCTACATAATTTTTCAAAAATTCTTATAATTGCACTGTAAACTATGAATGTATAGGTTGGGTTGGATTACATTAGGCTGGGTTAGGTTAGTTATATATATGACTGTATAAAGCTATACAACTATATATATATCGTGAATTATATAATATAATATGATGGAATATGGGAGATTATTATATTTAAAATAACACAAAAGCACAATAACTTTTAAAACATAAATGAATTTATTATTTAAGAAAAACGACTTGGAAGGACCTCTTTGAATAACTATATTTTATACGTGTGAAAATTATAATATCAGAGAAACAATAACAAAGAAATACATGGATTTTATTTTGTTAACATGCATAGATCTGATAAAAATCGAGCGGTATATTTTCCTTTGCTCTTGCAACAAATATTGGTATTCATATAACAAATCGGCTGCAAACGTAAAAAATAATAGTAATCAAAAATAAATTTAATATTACTTTTATTATATATAATCTGTTGTATTATTTAACCCTTTTATTCACGTTCTTGCAATTTTCTTCAGATTTATTTTTTTTTTCTCACTACGGCCTAATGATACCTTATATTTCAACAAAGTGTATACGGTACTGAGGACTTCTACGGATAGCTTACTGCGCATGCGCTGGGACCGAGATGAGTTATAAGCCGCGTTTTTTCGCGCATGCGCGGCAATTTTAGTCTCAGTGAAGTATAAGTTTCAATAAAATAGGGTACCTCAATCACCCCTCATTATTTTTCAAAAATTTTTATAATTTGGTTGTGAAATATGAATGTATAGGTTGGATAAGGTTACATTGTATACATACTTTCATATTTGAGGAGAAGATGGAAAGGAAAGGTACTAAAATAACTGTAAGCAAAATATATAATAAAGCCATCTAGTGGCGCCACTAAATACATACGCTGCGTACGCTCCTGCATTTCTCGCGCATGCGCGAAAAATAACCTAACCTTAGGCCCAGACCTAACCTAATATAATCTAACCTTAGGCCCAGACCTAACCTAATACAACCTAACCTTAGCCCCAGACCTAACCTAATATAACCTTACCTTAGAAACTTACCTAACCCATGCCAAACACTGATCGGCGCGCTACTTAAAAGTAGATTAAGCCATTCTATCAGACCTCTTTACAGCATTGAAGTGGAAGAAGGATCTCTGCGTTCCATTTAATCAACGTAAGTTCCATTTTTTAATTAAACTTAACCTTTGGTTCTGACTGATAAAACTAACAGTAGTAAGGACAGTAATTATTGTTCCACCCATTGTAATACGAGTAATATGGATTATTTATATTAAAAATAGATTATTACTACTAACAATAGTTATAATGACAATAAAAGTAGCAATATTGATAGTGATAGAGGTTAAACTGATAATAATAGCAACGATTAGGATGATAACAATAGTTCTAACTATTATAACAATAGTAATATGGGTAATAATATAGGTTATATTGATAATAATAAGAGTAGTAAAGATAATTATAGTTCCAGCGATGATAATAATCATAATATGTGTAGTAATATTGATAATAATAAGGGTAGTAAGGATAATTACAGTTGCAGCGATGATAATAGTCGTAATATGCGTAATAATATTGATAATAATAAGAATAATAAGGATACTGATGATAAAAGTAGTAATAAGCGTAATAATATTGGTAATGATAAGAATTATAAGGATAATGATGATAAAAGTAGTAATATGCGTGATAATATTGATAATGATAAGGATAATAAGG